TTTAGAATTTTTTTTGGCTAATTGAAAATCATCATTTTCGTTGTCCGAAAAAACTTCATTAGAAGTGTTGGATTGATTTGAAACGCTTAGTATGTTGTTTACATTTTTATTTAATTTAATTTATTTTCGTTGGTTTACATATTAGAAGTGTGTGCTGGTTAGGTTTAGGTTATTAAATCATTTAGGAATATAACCATATGCTATGGAATTGTAGTTTGCGCTATTCCTTGGAAGTTTATTCAGTATTATGTCAAAAATACTATTTCTAGCAGTCAATATTGTCCTTTTACATCCACTGATATTCTTCGTTTTCTACTTGGACTACATTTTGATAGACTATGGAGATTAGGTCTTCAATTTTGGTAACTTTTTCACTTTTTAAATCGTGATAAATTAAATTTTTTTTTTCAAAATGAGGTACTTTCCAGTCTCCTATTAAAAGTAACTTTGAAAGAAAAACTGCTTCCACCAAAATGTGCTCTCTCATATTAGTAGATAGTTTAGGGTATGAACGAACTTCCATAATGGGGAAGTTTTTAAGCCAGGCTTCACAATGTCAGTTTTAGTTCTCCTAACCATCAGCGGTAACGTATGTTAAAAATCACTAGCAAATATGACAACGATTCCACTCATGATTTTTTTTAGAAATTCTAATATATCTAAGTGTCCTATTTAAATCCTCTACATAAGCTCTATGAATTATCCCAAATTATTTAATTAACATTTTGAAAAATTTAATCTGTGGAATTTCCAAAAATTATTTAAAATTTTAAATTAAAAATAATTTGAGTCTTCCCCCATAAGTTTTCCTCGATAAATAGGCTATCCAATTCAAAAATAATTTTTGAATTCGAATTAGTAGATCCTGAGATTAGCGTGTTCAACCAAACTAAATCTTCAGCTTAAAATAAATAAATAAATATTGAAGACATAACATATATAAAATATATATAGATCAGAGGCGGCCAAACTTTTTTCGGCCACGATCTACTGAAAATATACTTCACCTTTGAAGATCGACTTTCTTGGAAATTTTTTTTATAAACCAGAATAAAAGATAAAAACTATACAGTTAAAACTTATTGACAATTTGTTTATGACCACCACGATTATTATAGATATTATATATATTATAGATGGACCATTGACATCAGTAGATGTGAAAAGATCATTTAGTTTTTATAAATATATATTGATTGAAGGATAAACAATATAAGACTTAGAAAAATACATATTTATGAGTTATTTTTATAAAAATTAAATATCATATATTTTAATATAATGTCATAAATCGTAATTATAAATCAAAACTTTTTTATTAATAACTAAAGTACGTTTTTATTTATTGAGTTATATTTTGAAAAAATTCAATATTTTTTATATTTCATAAATATTTACCAATAATGTAGAAGAATTTAATACATTCTTATTAACTCGTATTTTATTATTATTCGTAACTAAATTATTTGTTTTATTTGTTGAATATATTTTTAAATATTTAATGTTCTTTAAGTAATGATATAATTTGACATCTGTAATTTATATATTGATCTTGTCTCATTGAGTTGCATTGATATTTATGGAAGGAAAAAAAATATATAAATGGATTAGTTATGAAACATAGTATTTAAAATGTGCATACAATTTCAGACCCTAATGATAGTGAATGGTTATTTAATATTTCTATAGTCGTTTTGGTTTTGTTAGATTTTTTCAAAAATAAAACGGTAATTTTCACTTATTGTTTTGGGTTTGTTGTAATTTTCGTGAATAAATTATTCATCACGTATACATTTTAGCTAGTATGTATAGTAAACCTTTGTTTATTTGATAACCAATTTCTGGGTTATAGGTCAAACATTCTTGTTAGTTATCGAGCTATTCAAAATATTGTAGTCGTAAAAAATTGAATTTGAAATTATGTACCTACCAGAGGTTAGGGTCATCCCGAAGATGAAAATTAAAGTGGGGTGAATAATATAAAAAATGCCAACTACAATTTTTTTACTTAATGTATGTAGTATAATTAACTATATGTAGTCGTATTTTTACTTTTTAACATGTATATATATGTCAGTGTCGCACCTTCTTAAAATTGATAATTTAATTATATATACATAATAATATTTTATATTATATAATAAATAGTTATATACAACATTTTATTCGTGTATACACTGTATTACGAAATATGTAATATTTGTTTTCCGTAAGTAAAATAAGGTCCTTCTGGGCTATAATTAAACAAGTCTGACTGCTGACTGTTGTTTTCGTTGGGGGGGGTGTGAGACCCCCCTTCGGGACGGTCCTACCAGAGGTAATAAAAGACATTTAGTTGTAAATAACACATTATTTTATTGATTTTTTTATACATCATATTTTATTTTAAAAAATGTATTGATATTATGTATATAAATATTAAGTAAAAGTAATACAAATTATGTAGGTAGATAAAACAATCAGTACCATTCTGGAATAAAGCAATGAGCAACAACATACATATTGCTGAAGGTTTGTAGATTTGCAAATAAAAAATTGTGATGGTTTGGTTAAAGAATACTCATGTATTGATTAAAATACCGTTCCATATCAACTAATGTGATAGGGCCGTAAATCATATTTGCTAAATCAGAAGGAGTGAATTCAATATCTTGAGTTATCTTTGTTAAATTTTTCCTATTAAAACATCCCCGATGATCATGTTAGAAATAAGTACGTAAATACAATTTAGATAACATACAATACTTGGAGGTTGTTAAAAAATGTTGACAAAGCTTATAATATTTACTGTCATTGGTGTATTCGTAATTATTTTCTAGGGTATACGCTCAGCACATAAGCGTTTATTGGTGGGAGGGGAGGGGGCTAAACACCTTAAAAAAATGTTTTACCTACCTAAACTCAAAATTACATAATATGATGGAGACGTGGGATATACCCCCGCCAGACTTTTTTCCTAAGATGGGAGAGTGTACATTTCAAAGAAAGTATTTTTTGGGATTTGAAGTGGGCGCGCGCCCCCTTAGTCCCCTTAGATTCACGCCTGCTATGGAATTTTAAATTTTAAACTTATCTTTAATTAACTCATAGGTATTTATTATATATGAAACCTTAAATTTATGTTAATATTTATTTTCATGAAGCTTAATGTTTTATTATGTTTAATAATATTTTAGTATTAATTTAAAATAATTTACACAAACATGTGACGAATAAATACTGACTAAGTGACAAACTGACAACAATATAATAATTAATAATCACAATCTATCCAAGACATCGTAGACAGATCTGTTAATATTGTGAATAATTTATAAACAGAACTTTTTGACTGTTGATGTATTTTTAAAAATTATAATATCCGATCGACAATACAATATCGCACGCGTCCACCGGTATTGTTTAAATTCTGATGTTACAGTATGTGAAACGCTCGGTAGTTTCCGACCGTCTCCGCAAATACCTGAAGTCGGGGAAATTTAAAAGTTTATGCGGGCATGAGGCTATTTTTGGATAGTGGCTATAGTATATAATAATAATAAATTCTATACTGTTGTTGTATAATGTATCACCTTGTGGTGATGAAAAATTAGAAGCTTGCGTATATCCATGATAGACAAATTTTCTTAAAGGTATACGCATAAATCCAAAAATAGGGATCCGGGTATATGGTGTATACTCGCGTATACCCTCCAATACACCACTGTTTACTGTCGTCAAAAGTAAATAAAAAAAGTCAAAATTTACATAAAATATATACAAATTATGTACTTTTTTACCAAATATGTAAAAATATGTGAATTAAATTTGAGTTTATTTAAATTAGAATGATCTAAATCGTACACATTTTTATCAGATTTAAAATATCTCATTCCAATAAAAATATGTATTTACAATAAAATTCGTTCCTTACTTACAACCGTTTATTAAGTTAACTTATGTACAAAACCAATTGTTTGATTTAAAATATAATTAATATTTTACTTTATTATAGGTATATATTTGTATAAATATCCTAACTTTAAGTATACAATTTATGTGATAGTAATATTATTTAAAATGTATAAATATATTTATTTATAGTTTTAGATATATTTTTTTAAACTTTATATAAGAAAAAAAAGAAAATACTTAGGTTAGTATAATGTGATACTTACCATGTGTTGATTCAAGGGGAATTTGAGGGCAGGTGCTACTCCCGTTGGAAAAAATAATATTAAAAATAAAGTATGTATAGAAGAACTACATGATAGATAATAAAAATAAATGTTGACAGCTTTATTATAATATTGTCACATTTTAGGGGTTGACTTCCCCACCAAGATATCCCTACATATGCTTATGATCATTATATTACATAATATTACATATATATATATTACATACAGCTATATTACATAATTTATTTTATAAAGTATCTAAATTCTAAAAAGATGCTGGATTTGTCCTTATTCTATCCTATACGCAGATTATCTGATTAACTTTTTATTTCTCATTTTCATTAAGTACCTCCGTTGACATTTTCATTGCTATAATTATCGATTATTTTTTTACTATATTACTCTTGGACCATAATTTAAGTAAATTATACAACAAAGTAATAATAATTAACTAAATTTTGTTCAGAAATTGATTATTTCATACGTTTATAATATATGTATTATTTTATTTTCTTTAATTTAAATTTAATAAAGTTTGATAGGTCTAGCGTACTGAAAATATAACTAATATCCAATTAAATACAAATATTTTATTTTGTATTAAACTTAACATTTCATGAATCTTTTTATTAAATGTAGTATAAATATAGTATTACACATAGGTATATAATGGACTATGATTTATATTTATATATTTATATAATGCACTTATGAATTTAAAATATATTTGGTTATAATTTTGATATTTATTTTGTTATCATGTATACGTATTGCTTTCATATAACATTTTATTACTTAGGTACTTAAACGATTGATTATTATCTGTAAGGTTATTTTTAGGTTGTCTACAAAACGAGTACCAATGCAAGAATAAATGTATTGAATTGGTGAAAAGATGTGACAGAATTGCTGATTGTGACGATGGCGAAGATGAAATCGATTGCAGTGAGCATACAGTTTTTTACAAATATTGATAAAATTTGTTATATTAAGACGTAAATAAATAAAATTTAAATTATTTTTGATAGACGATATTTTTATCAAAATCTATTCGAAAATAATGAAATGTATATGCTAGTATTTACTAGTATGTAGGTATATATATATATTTATATTATCAATACAATACATTTGTATTAACTGTATGTTTGATAGTTAAATTAATTAATTAATTAAAAACATACTAAAATATTTTGAGTTAAATTATATAAACTTGAAGTAAAAAATATATAAAAAGGGACCTTAAACGGCCATAGTCAGTGGGTACTTAGTATAAATTGTATTTTCGAAAGTTGGTTTTAATATATAGGTAGTATTCGTAATAGTGGGGTACGACTATTATACTCTTCGATCTAAAAGTTATTATTTAAAAACAGAAAGAAAGAATTTTGCATGAGATTGTAAATAAATAATAAAATACATTGATCACTAATGGTTTAACAAACTTTATTATCTACTAAAAAGTAAAATGGACCATTAAAAATCAACCTTTCATGGTTGAATATTTTATTTTTAGAGAGAACCATATAACATTTTTTCCTTCAATAAATAAATGTACAAATCGCCGTTATTCTTTAGTAAACACTGATAAATTGCAAAAGTAATAGGATAAAATGTAAACAAACATAAAATTGTTTTTAAACAAATACATATGTACATAAAATACACATTTTACAATTAACGACTAAATAATTTAATAATTTTTAATCCAATTATTAATCTACTGAAATCTTTCAATAGATCATATACATCATATACAACATAATTTTTTGTTACAAACTAATAACCTTAGTAGTTGAAGCTGTACCATGAATAAAAAAAAAAAAAAAATCAAAAAAAAAAAAAAATCTTTATTTATAATCTTATGGGTAGTACATAAAACTTTTGCGTGGTTAAAGACAAAAACGCCTTCTCTAAAATTTAGTATTACTTATTTTATTCATCCTTATCAATGTACAAATAACTATGTGATCAGTCAATCACTTTTTAGTCTTAATACAACTTACCTAGGCTGAGACTTATTTTTTGTACTTATATTTTTATAAGCTTTATCATAAAAAATGTTATAACACTAAACAAAAGTTAACCCATTTTATCCGGATTTTAAGTCTAAATTATCTCAAATATATATACCTATATATAAGCCACCAAACATTTTTATTCATAAAAATAAAAATAGCCTAAGCACAAAAAACAAATATCTAGTTAAGTGTACAGTGGATTGAAATATCTTCCCCCCATGACTATCTGTCTGAATGAATAAATTGAGTATATTTTTGCTTTTTTATATTTGGAAGGTATTATTAAATGCCATGGTAATGCGTTTAGCATGTTTTTATCTACTTTTCACACAACGGTTGTTTTGTCTTTTAGAGATAATGTACGCTTATCCAGTTATTAAAAACAGTGAGGCAGATTTTATTTTATAACTTACATATAACTAAGTTATTAAATTTTTCATCTGTAAGATAACTGATTATTTATATTAAAAATAAATTATATATAGATCAAAGCTATAATGAAAGAGAACAAGTTTTGTTAATTTTGATAATAGAAAAGGATCGATAAATATAATAAGTACAAAATGATAACGGTTTACCAACATCATGTTTATTAAGTTAACGAACTATAATATCTCCATTAATCATCTGTTTATGTAAATATTTATTGATCTACAGTAATGATTAAATATAGAGTAAAATATCAATATAATAATTTTTAATTACTTTACATTACAGAGTATTACTTTCTTAAGTACTCTTCAAAAGGTATAAGGTATACTTAATACAACGTGTAGATTTAAATAATTAAATCAATGGTAGATTGAGCTATTAAAATATATTTTTTCTAAAATGTAACTGATCATTGGTAATAATGTAGGTACTTAGTTTTCATAAACAGAATTTATCAATTTTCAGAGACTCATGAATGCCCAACTACACACCACAAATGTACAGTTAACTATTTTTGCATACCAATAGATAAAGTATGTGATTTTAAAGATGATTGTGGTGACGGATCGGATGAACTTCATTGCAGTATGTTTCAAATATTACTTAGTTATTCATTTTTAAAAATAAATACATAAATAATTAAATACTATTACTATTGATATTATTCAAATAGTTATTATGAACAAAAAAGTAATAGTTAATTTGTAATTTATTTACTATGGTTATTTAGAACACAGAGATTGTTGGCACCAAGAATTCAAATGCAAAAATTCGGAATGTATTCGTCCAGCATATCTTTGCGACGGTGAAAACGATTGCTCAGATGGTTCCGATGAAGAAAACTGTGACGAAAGTAAGATGAAAAATGTTTTTATTTCATTTCAAACAATTGTTCAATTGTTCTCTTATAATTGAGGTAACCTATAAAAAAAAAAAATTAACGTTTTACGAAAAGGAGTCTAAAAAAACTATTTACTACGGTATAAAAATAAGGGGTTAAACGATAGATGAAAAAATACGAAATAAAGTTACACTAGGTACTTAAGTTTTTTGTGTAAACTGTAGATACTACAGATATAAAAGTAAAGGTACGTACCGATTACATTAAATTTTATAACAACAAAACTACTTTCTTTTACGATAGAAGTTCATAATTATCGTTATCAAACTAATTGACACGGCTCACAGAGTCTTGTATTAGTTGTAACTTGGCAAGACTCGTAATTACAACCTACTCTTTGTTAATTTAATCAAATACCTACTTCTTAATTTTTACTAAAACGTGGAAAAAAAGTGCTCGTAAAAGTGGTTATCTTCTAATTAGCCAGTCAATATGCTTATCACTTGTTAGTTGTGAACGTATTAGATTCATTGTTAGCACGTTACAATATGAAATTATTTATACAAAATGATTAACAAGATAAATCGGACCAAATAGTAATACTGTATATACAATGTATGTAAAAAATCGTGTTAAAATTTTTAATTATATGTTCAACTAAAAAATATTTGTTATAATAAGTTAAAAATATTTTAGTAAATTTTAAGAAAATATTCATTATTTTTATTTTTTAGAAACATTTTTGTTCATTCAAACGTTGTTTTTCAAATTTATAAATGAACTGTACATTCATGAATGTTGTACATTATTTTATTTTTATTTTTTTACGTAAGTTAACATGTTATCTAATATCAATATATTTCAAATAAAATTTTCTCAGCATGATATTCAAAAAATATTTTATTATGAAAACAATTATTTTGTGTTTAAATAATTGATTAATATTTTTTAAGTTATTTTAAAAATATTGCATTATCTTCTGGAAATTTATTTTTTATAATTCAAAATTAAAATAAATGATTAATATTTCAAAATAAATAAGAAAGTGAAAATTGCTATATTATAGGTAATATTTGTCAGGATGTATCACATAAAAAATTAAATTACTATATGAAAATATATTACCTACTAAATATATCTCAGTGATTGATTACATATTTAAATAGATCTGTTAAATATAATAAATGATTAAAAAAAAAGATTAGCTTTTTCGTGACATTTGCCATATTTTTATAGGTATGGATTTATATTGCATATTTTAAATACGATAATTTGTTAATAAAAATTGATTTATGTGAAATATACATTTGTTAAATTTCATTGTTTTCTTTAACTATTAGTTAAAAACTATGTAACTTGCAAATACTGCACTAATTTTGAAAAATATTGTTACTCGTTTACGACATGTATTCATGGTCACAAAAACTAAAAAATGTATTTAACTTAAATTTTAAAAAATATTATTTTAATTATTTTATTTAAATAGAAAGAAATGTAATATTAAATAAATTCAAGGGGATACTTTAAATTGTTTTGATGACTATCTTTCAAGAAAAGTATGTTGTTATTTTCAATTGTTTTTACAGTCATAATATATTTAAATAAATCCTAAAATATTGATTACATTTTGTATTTCATAGTTAATGTTAAATTATTTTTATATAAATAATGGTTGAAATGTATCACCCTTTTACTGCAAGTTTGACTTATTTTTTCAATATAAAATCAGAACTGACTTCACTTATGCTGCTATATTAATAATTATTTACATTTTATAAGTCAATGTTATAAATTATTATGTTCATAAAGTACAGTCGTTGCTAGATAAATTGAGACGGCGGCGGCGGCGCGATAACGGAAAACCAGTAGTTCTCCGTATTTTAATATTATTAACGAAAATACATCAATAAACCAACAATGGTTACAAAAATTATTGCGACTGAAGTGCGCCGTGCGGTCGATACACACCGGGTTCGAACTGGTGACTGCGCGCGTCGTAGCCAACTGTGTTACCTTTGCGCCACACTGTCAGCGACAAGTTTGGGCTACACTTCATGAAAAGCGCTGCCGCCGTCGTCTCAATTTATCTGGCAACGATTGTAATTTTATTTATTTAAACATTATTATGATTGCAATCTATTATAATAGATTACATTTTAGAACAAAAATAAAAGATTTGTATTCACTACACGCGTTAACAGTATTGCTGTCGTATGCTGTCATATTTTAAAATAATTTTAAATAAAAAGTTTCTTTTGAAAACTTCAATAGCTTGTAAGTTATATAACATATACTTTTTGTTAGTTATATAACACATAATTTTAGAAAAAAAGAAAATCAAAAGGGTAAAATGGTTATCTGTACCAAAGTTTAATGAATTACAATTTATGACATTAAATATTTACTGTTTTCCTTTAATTTCATAGTTATAAGGCTTTAAACGCAAAACAATAAATATGGGTTTGTGGTTGTGTATGAAATACTAATTTTTTTTTGTGATCCAAATAGAATAAGAAATATTTATTGCACATCAAAACGTTTTATTGATTCAACACTGTACATATAAATATATAATAAATATCTAAGTATTATTTTATTACCATATAATTCTCACAAAGTAATATTTTTTTATTTTCAATGACACTGAACGATTATGTATATACAATACGCATACAAGTGATCTGCACACAAAATATTTTACATTCATAGATGGTAAGCAAAATGAGAACAAATAACATTATATTCTATGCAATGCCATAGAATCTTTATTTTATAAAGATTTCGATCCAATAAAAAAAAAAAAGTGGTTTTCTTCTGAATTTAATTCTATTAAAATATAAGCATAAACATTATGATTTTTTTTCATATTAATAAATAAATAGATAAATAATAAATAAATCTTAATTGGCTTTTATAACAATGCTAAATGTAAAATAGATATTTCACGATCTAAATAAGAATAAAATAAATATACTTAAATATTATAATATAAAATGTATGTGTTAATATAAAAATAAAAATGAGTCTGTATAAGTACAAAATTGTTGGTAGTTATTAAATATAATCATAATTCTTATTAGGGGTGAATTTTTTTAAAACTGTTGCTGTATATAAAAATGTATTTCGGGTATTATCAGGGATCTGAATACTAAGTTGTTCAAGGGTGGATCTACAGTTAGAAAACTGTGGGCCAAGCTATTTCCAAAAGGTCACTTACTATAGCTGAAACTGGATTATAAATGTATAGCTTGTAACAAAAAAAAAAAAAAAAAAAAACATAATAAGCAAATGATATGTGTTATTAAGTTTATTAATAATTCTCATTGAAAAAATTCATTTTATTTTATGGAGTCTTACATGGAGTCCAGCTTAGAGATGTTTTACTGTACAATATATTGTATACAAATTAAATCAGTGGCGTAATTTGGTGGATGACAATTTATCCTAGTCTTTGACCTACACTTGGCACACTTAAAAAATATAAGAAGTATTTAAGATGCCAATTTTATCAAACAATATTAACAGTAGGTCAACTGACCTACTGACCCCCCCCCCCCCCCCATAGATCCGTCCCTGAAGTCGATCCAGTATTCAAGGGACGTCGATATTACCTATCAATCAATATCTGAGTAAACGATAGCTAGAAATAATACGACATTCAGGAAATGACTTGAATTTAAATAAATCATTAATGATCCTGAATCGTGAAGAGGATGTGCAACATTTAGGCTGTGCCCTGCAAAAGTTAAGAAGCGGTCTTGGACTCTATCAAGTCTCTTGTTACTAATTATGTACTACATAAATAATTTTATATGAAAGTTGTTGAGTAAATAAAACCATTTTGAGTTTTCAAAATTTTAAAACTGTTTTTTAATAAAGCTGAGAACATTTAACGCTTTACCAGCGACAAAGTCAATATGTGGACGAAAATCTAAAGATGGAATATAAAGAAATCTAAGATATTTTATTTATTTAACGCCTTCAAATCAGGGGCGGGTTTTATCACTAACCAAAGAAGGGGCTAATGGGGGTTTAAGAATTGAGTTAGTTGGTTTTTTAAATCTATATAAAATTTTAAATTACAAAATATGTTTTTGAGTCCCTCATAAGTAAGTCATTTTTTTCACAATAATTACAAAGTTTTAATAGTTACATTATTGGTATCAATTTTAATCTGAAACTATTTTAAAATATAGGTAAATACATATAATAAACAACAAGAGCTATTTATTTATAAAAAAATATATAAAATAGGTACTATATTCATTAATGACCATTGACGATATTTTATTATAATTATTAATATATAATAATACTTTGCTTTGTAAAATAGATAGCTTAGTACCAAGGGGGGCTAATGTCCCCTTATCCACCCCCTTAAACCCGTCCGAGCTTCAAATGATGGTCAGTTTAAACAGTAATCGAGTTCTATGTTTCTTCGAGAACGATACATTTATATGCATTTACTAATGTTCAATGATATCCCAGAAATGTTACATCAATTTATAAATTTATCTAACACACTCTAGAAGATTACACAATCCTCTATAACTGATATTGAAAAGAATACCTTCAAAGCATCTACAAAGAGTAATGAGCGACACGATGTGAATATAGAGAATAATATATTTATAAAAATGTTGATTAGTAACCGATCTAAATGGCTACCTTTTGGTATCCCAGATGACTTTTGGATGCTGCACCAAAGATATTAATAAATTAACTGCGATCGAGCACATATGAGGTTAACAAGGATAATAGTAATTCTCCAATACTAAGTCTATCAAATGTATAAATAAGTACTATGATTAATTGAATCAAACGCTTTTGAGAAATCCGTGTAAACTACGTAAACTTGTTGTTTTCGTTCAAGCGATTCATAGATTTATGAAGTGAAATCAATAACGCTTGTAATCGTCGATCTTCCGGTGAAAAACCTATGTTAGTCAATTGAGATTACAGAAAGAAAATTATTTTCTATTCGTTTCAATACAGTAGACTTAAAAAGTTTACCTACTCATGGAAACGGCAAGCTAGAAATTGGTTGGTAGTTCTTAATGTCAGCTGAATTTTCTGTTCTTAAGATTGGAGTAATCTGACCTAGATTTTAGATGAAGGGGAAGGAGCCTTCTATTAAATAATAAGAGTTAATGACTGTATAGACTTCAATCGCAGTAACTGAAATAGTTGATGGAAGAAACAGAAATTCATTGGTAGTAATAGATTTAAAGGCGTATTGGAGATCGAACGTGGTTTAGAGTAGACAGTGGAAACATATTTAGCAAATAGATTTGCAGCTTGATCCCCAGCGGCCCTTAAATTACCAAGATGAACTTCTTTGGGAATTGAAACTTTGAAAACTTTTTTGGAACATATTTTACATGGATATTATATCTTTCTCTAAAATATTTACTTAATAGTAACTGTATTGATGTCATCAGCATAATCCATTCACGTAACGTACATTTTATAAATTACAGGTAATTTTGTTAAGTGTGGTGGAAACAAATTGGTTCACTCATCGTTTTGGTGCGATGGGTGGCCAGAGTGTACAGATAATCACGCCGATGAATTGAATTGTAATTATTTAGCATTTGGATAAGATATCAAACATTTGATAATTTTTTTTTCTTTGTGAATAATCCATCAATAGGTAATACGACATGTTTGCATAACAAGTTTCAATGCCCAAACGGAAGATGTATTAATAAGGCGAACGTTTGCGATGGGCAATGCGACTGTTTAGAAGATGTCAATAACCATTGTGCCGACGAGATTAACTGCGCAAATTATTACGTCAAAGTCGATGGTATGGTATTGTTATATAATTTTTTTTTTTTGTGTATTTCTATCTATATCATAAGCTGAATACTAAATGCTATGAAAACAGTTGATGTATAAACGTGAGACGATGTAAATGATTTGATATAAATTTGGTTTTCATAATTTTGTAATTAGTATAAAAGTAACTATATGTATTAATGTATTAAATTAATAACATATTCATATAATCATTCCCCAGAATGATGAGTATTGACATTCGATATTTTATAAGATACTCGTAAGATCAAATGTTCAAGAATAATATCTGTATTATGTTTTTTTTATTTTCATTTATTTATTTTGCTTTTATCAGAAATATCATAGCATTACAATTATTATTTAAAAAAAAAAAAAAAAAAACATAATAAGTTACCTAATGATAATAATGAGAGAAAAAATAATAATAAAATAAAAGCAACAATAACAATTTTAAATTAGGGAGCCAGCGGAATTGATAAAATTAATTATGGAAGAAATAATAAGAGTGGATCGAGAATTGAGAAGGAGATTTGAGTCGGGAGTGATATATCAATGGAAAGATAGGAATATAAAAAGAAGTTGACTACTTGGTAGAAGGGAAGGGAAATTGAAAATTAAGTAGTTGAAGTCACTAATTGTGACTTTGTGGTGTCGAGTACAACATAGTGGAGAAGAATTAAGGGTAAGCTTGAAGGAATGGTTAGGTACGAGTAGAAATCTGTATCCAATGGGAAGGCGGGTAAATGCGACAATTAGGCGCCTTGGAATGTTTAGACCCTTGAACCATGGAAGTAGAGGGATTACGGGGATGGTGTGCCTGTGCCATGAGGCGAAATTGGGTAGTAAAGAGGACCATTTGGATTGCCAAGCGTTATGTAGAAGCTTACGGTGAATCTGTATTATGTTACAAAATATATTTCAAAGTGTGATATCAATAACACGAAACTCGATAGGTCTAAGGAAAAATTATTTTGAAATTTTACTTAAATTATTTTTCGACCATTTACTCCACCTCTTACCTATTAAAATTGCACGTTATTAAACTATATTTGAAGTATATCCTCCCCCCTCGTTTACCTATTAATCTGTTTGTATTTTTTTGTAGTATGATTAAATAATGATTACAAAGTGTCAGTAAAACAATTATTATTAAATTTAAGTGATGAGTAAAAATAAAAATGATATTTCCATAAGAGATATTAATGCAGATACAATTTTATACAGATTATTATTTTCTTTATATTTTCTACCTACCGTTGAAGTTTATACTAAAATTTAGAAAAAATAGTTTTATATCGAAGAGAGTGAGTGTAAAATAAATAATAATGATAAAAATTGGAATTCTCATTAAAAAAAAAAAATCTTTAAAACATAATTTAATATTTTCTATTTGTTGAACTAGATTCATTATTAAAAGCTAATTAAAAAAAATAACATATTTTCTATTTTTATTGGAGCAGTAGGAAATTGTATAATAATTTAATGAAAAATGAACTGGAGGCTGATAAATGCATTTGCATGGGAATTGTTACGTAAAATTATGGTTATATCGGCGAATATTGGTTGTGAAGAACTCACTTGAATGATATAAGTATATGATTAAATTTAATTAGTTTAAACAATACTTTGTCCGACGTTTAATTTGTTTATTATAGCGTATTTTTTGCTTTATTTTTTACTGCGGCCTGAATCATAATAATTTTAGCAAACGATAAAAAGCTTGTATCTTTTACATGCATTTTAGGTATAGTTGTATGCCAAAAAGAATCAACGCTCAGTTGTTGGATGCCAGAAGGAAATCCTTCCCGTTGTATACGACAAGAATATATTTGTGATGGACAAAATGATTGCTTTAATGGATTTTCGATTTCAGACGAATTTGGATGTGGTGAGTGACTATTTTTTTAATAGTAGTTTTTTATATTCTAGTTAATAAAAAAGGATTCAGATTTTTAAATCATTAAGACAATTTTTATTTTAATTTATAAGTATATTTTCGATATAACATAATGATTTGAATTTACGTCAACTATAATAATTTCTCGTATAACACATAAAGTAACAATTTATTATTATTATTTTTTATTTGTAGAAAATTAAGTATTTAATTTGGCTTTATTATTATATATACGTTTCTGTCTGAATGAAGATGGTTTTATAAAGATTTACGGAATAAAAATACATCGAAAAGTTTGAATTAATTCTATTATAAAATTATTATTTTAATCTGTATTTTAATCAGGGCTTATAGTGACAAAAAAGGGCAAAGGGTACTCTTATCTATACATCATTATCAGCGTTCCATATAGTCTCAAACAATTACTAGTTTAATAATTATAAATAGATAAATATATATTACAGTGTTGGGTAAGTTTCTTTTAAAAAGAAATTCGTTCCCGTTCTTTATTTTTGTGGTAAAAAAGGAACTCGTTCCCGTAGCAAAAAAAAAAAAACGTTCCCGTTCCTTTTTAAAACGGGATGCGTTCCCATTCCTTTAAATTGTTTTTTATACGATTTGAGCGATTGCAAATGGGATTTTTTTTCTGGAAAACTTTTTAACAAGCAACAATGAGCAAGTTTTTATGTTCAATATCTTTTTTGATAAGTAGTTAATTTAACCCAAATTCAACACTGAAGGTAACATTCTCTGTTATCGACCCGTCGCCCAAAGGTGTTCACCTCCTGGTAACATCGTTTATATCACAGTTATACAACCGTGGTTTACATTATCATATTATATCTTGTATGCTAATCTTTAACTAATTTAAATAAATGATTTAATATACCCACGATATGTCCTAGGTTCATGGAAATTTATTATTGAATGACAAAGCGATAGTAAATTACCAACACTAAATAATATTATGTTTTAGAAAATATTATCGTAATAAAATGTTTTTTTTTTTTTTCATAATTTGAGGAACGGACAGTTTTGTTCATGTTCCTCAAAAATAGGAACTCTTTCCCGTTCCTCATTTCAATATATTAAAATAAACGCGTACCAAGCTTCGTTCCTATAAAAGAAATGTGGTCCTTCTCAACATTAAAACATTATGAGGTGTTGTTAGTGAACAATTTCTTTCACAAGCTATTTATGTGCTGTAAAAATGTATGAACTTGTAAATTTGTTACTTATCGTTTTAAATAACAGATTGTAAATATATTTTAATAAAATAAAATAATTTAAAAAAAATAATTTATAAGTATATATTACTATATTATTTATAATTAGGGAACGGATTTATATGTAATAAAAATACAGGAATATGTACATATCTATGTAAATATAATTTATAAAATATGTGTTAAAAACATCCAAATATGTAGGAAAAATTTAAT